TCGGAGGGGTCCGATACGGGGCTCCCCGCCGGGCCCCTAGGAGGGAGGGGAGAGGGCCCTGCGGAGCCCCCCGGTGGTGCGCCCGCCTTTCCCTAGGGGACAGCGGCCACAGCCACCCTCACCCCCGGCCAGATGGGGTGCGGTGCTGCCCCCCCTCGGGCCGCGTCACCCTTTATCTAGACCGGGGTGCCACCCCCCTCCCCGGTTCGTGTCATGTCCCTTCCCAGGCTCCGGTGGGTTACCGCTCTCCCCCCGCCATGTCTCACCCTCCGCAGATGGGGGTGTGGTGCTGCTTCCCAGGGACTGTTATCTCTTTCCAGTAGAGATGCGTTTTTTTCTCATTCCCAAAGGGATAAGATGCCTGCCCCCGAGATTGTTTTATAATATCCCAGACAGGGATCTGGTGTCACTTGTGCACCCTCCTATACTATGTCTCCTTCCAAAAGAAGGTTGTTGGTCTTCTCTGGATAGGGGTACATCACCACACTGCTGCACCCTCCGAGACAGCCCCCCCCATCCAAAGGCAGGGATAGATTGTTCTCCCCCAAGTGTGTAATTGATCCCCAGAAGGATTGTCGCTTCCCAAGAATGTTCCCCTTTCACATGTTGCCACCTCTCCTCTCCATTGTATGTCCTGCCCCATACATAGAACTGGTACACATGAACGCATATGACCAAATATATAATGCTTGTGCTGTAATAGGGGTGTAAAATTCTGTTTAATTGGCTAATCAAATAGTCAATGAAATTTGCATTGACTATTCAATTAGTCAATAAAGGCGCCTCCACCTTTGTAGCACATTTCAAAGACGAAAGCGCAGAGGGGAGCACGAGTCAAGCAGTTCCTCACTGGTCCTGTGCTCCCCACAGAATTTCAAAGCGGCAGTGCTGCATGGAGCCCTGGGTCAGCTGGGGACTTGGAGTCTTTAGCTGACTCTGGGCTTCCTGCGACATTGCTGCTTGGAAACACCGCATGTGGCCTGGGGCCACTTGGAGACTTCCAGCTAGCCCTGGACTGCACACGGCATTTCAACAGACCCCGGGCTCCATGTGATGCTGCCGCTTTGAGGCGCCCTCTCCACTTCTCTCCTTCCCCTCTTGCCTTGCTGCCTTTTTCTGATACAGGCAGCAAGAGGTTGGGGGAAGCAACTAGTCAACTAGTGTGTCAGCTATCCAATAAGCATTTGCTTGCCGGTTAGTCGATTATTTGTTCACATCCCTAATGTGTAATAAAATATATTTTATCTCTGGAAATATGTAAGTAACTTAAATTTTACAATGAAATCCAGAGAATATGATTATTAATGTTATTAATGTGAAGATGCATGTAATAAATCCTACACAGGTTTTATATAAAAAGTGAGTGTTCTCCAGGCCTAAAATGAATTTTGAACATATTTTTAATGCTCTGTTTCTGAGACAGAATATGTGTGTCTGTTTTTGTGTCTTTGTTTTTCTTTCTCCCTCAATCCTCACAGTGAACTCTAGGAAAGCCTCAATGTATGTAATGAAAACCTGTATTATGTGTCTTGTAGTATTACACCAAACAGCTGTGTTACTTAGCATCAGGTACTGGAAGCTTTCTGTGACCAGCTAGCCATTCAAATCATCTGCAAGGGGTTGAGGAAGGGGGAAAGAAAATGTAAATCTTTGTGTATACATGTTATATGTGTATGTAGTGGTAAAGGATGGTGAGCTAAATAAGTGATTTTTCTTGTTTAGTGTTCTTGTTGTCACTTTCTGGCAGCTTACTGGTGGCATGCTGGCTTTACTCCTGTTGTTGCATGCATTGCATTTACGTTCTACTATCAGTATTTCAGTACTCAATCCACGATGAAATGATTTTAGTAATAGCTACTCTTTGATGGTGGACCCTTTAGTCTTGTAGAACTACTTGCAGATTCAGGGTCTTATTTTTTATTATCTTTGCTTTATTTCAGTTATGGAAAGGGCAGACCGCTGTAGTATTAAACAAGTTGTAAAAATGTAAATTTATCTATTAGGTGTGGTTTCTCCTCACCTTTATTAATCTGTCCTATAAGGACAAATTTAATAAACTCTGAAATGGTTTTAAGAAAACTGAAGGTAGCAGTTAAAAAGAGAGACAACTGAAGTTTAAAAACCTTGGTTGTTACTGTTGATCATCATGATTGAGCTAAGTAGCTCACTAATGCAGGTAAGATTGTCTTTATAACCAGAGATTATTCTCTGTTATTGCCTTGTGTAAATCATTCATATTAACAGAAAACCTTTAGCTGAATATTTTAAATTATTATTAAACATATATTCACAAACTAATATCTGTAGGATTTTGTCATGGAGATCTTTTTTGATGTTGTTCAGTGCAGGAATCTTGTCAGAGGAAATACTTTTGTGGAATCACAAGAGCTAATTATTTTTCCAGATTATTAACGCTTTGTTCCTTTTCTTTGTTTTCTCAACAATTTCAGAGCAAAGTCTGAAGAGGCATGGATGTTACATGAGTCCCTTTAAGAACTCAGACAGATATGACTTTTACAAAAGTTTATTTTTGGTAAATTAGATAAAAATGGATGAATCGGCTTTGTTGGATCTGTTGGAGTGTCCTGTTTGCTTAGAACGTCTTGATGCTTCTGCAAAAGTCTTGCCTTGCCAGCACACATTTTGCAAACGTTGTTTGCTAGGCATCGTGAGTTCTCGAAATGAGCTCCGTTGCCCAGAATGTAGGACTTTAGTTGACTGTGGTGTTGATGAACTTCCCAGTAATATATTACTGGTTAGACTACTGGATGGCATCAAACAAAGGCCCTGGAAACCTGGCACAAGTGGTGGAGCTGGTTGCACAAATGCATTAAGGGCCCAGAGCAACACTGTTGCTAGTTGTGATTCAAATGACCCACAGAGCTCTCAAAGTGGACAGCAGCAAAGAGTACAAGCAAGAAGTCCCCCTGTTAGAGTAAGTATCCACTTAAAATGATAAACCGTACCTACAGGTAACAGTATTTGTTGATGTTGTTGTTCGAATTGTATCTCTTTCTAGACTGCTTCAAAACAGTTGAATAATAACAAGAAAAAAGGGCAGTCTATTTGGTCTATTTTGAAAATGCAAAATAGTATCTGTTCAATTATGATTTAAACTAGGGATGTGACCGTTTAACACTGTAAACAGTTAATCGATTAGCCTGAGCGTATCTGTTAACATTCACAGTTACATGCAGGCTCCCATCCTACTCCTGTAGAACTAGCTGCCATGAAACACTGCTGTGTCTGTTTCAGAGGCAGCAGTACAGGGCGGAAGCTGGCTCCTCAGGAGTGGGCTGCAGGAGGGAGCCAGTGAAGGCCGGGAGCCAGCTCCTGACATGCAGTGCCTCCCAGGGAGCTGGCTGCAGTTGGGTGCAACTGTGTAACCACTGAGTTTTTCAGCAGTTACAATTTACACAATTACCAGCATTTTAACATACCTAATTTAAACCAATTTTTATGTGTAACACAAACTTTGAGATACTGTTACTAGGAACAGTGTTCATATTCACTACTTTCTTATACTATATGACCAGTGATTTTCAGGCTATGGGTCACAGCCTAGTACTGGGTCATGGAATGTCAGGCACTGGGTCTCGGTGCTGCAGGGAGATCGGGTGATCAGTTAGAGTGCTTAGGTAGGCTACCTGCCTGTCCTGGCACTACAGACTGTGCTGCAGGCCAGACTTTTTTGGGAGGAGATGGAACGGAGGAGAAGGGGGAGAAAGCGCATGGGGCTTCTCACACTGCCCCTGCCCCAAGCGTTAGCTCTGCACTCACTTTGGCTGGGAACTTGCTGCTGGCTGCTTCTGGGGTATAGCATGGTCTTCGGTGCCAGGAGAGGCAGGAAGCCTGTCTTAGCACCTCTGCTGCACTGCTGACTGGGAGCTGCTCAAGATAAGCCATGCCTGTCCTAGCCCTGACCTCCCCCAAAACCAGAGCCCACTCGTACACCTATAAGCTCTCATCCTCAGCCCCGTCCGAGACCCCGCACTCTAGTCAAACTATGCTAGGTTGTGAGCATCAGCAATTTTCTTCAATTGGGTCATGAAAAGAAAAATCTGAAAACCACTGCTATATACACTTAGCTTTAATCTTAATATATTTATATTGCTAGTTACTGATTGCTGGTGAAAATATTGGTAGCGAAAAGTTTGAATGCATTTTTCTGTTTAAAACTTTCAATTGTTGAGTTTAAAATACATGGGGGGGGGGGAGCGAGAAATAACACGGGATCTTAACAGTCCTGTTCATGCTAAAGTGAAAGTTAAATAACTTAAAGAGAATTGGTATGAACTGATTGTTTGTATAATGATCAATTATTCAGTTTTGCTAAGAATATTATCAGGAAACTACACAATAGTCAGCTTAACTTCTGTGCCAGGAATTATAATGGAACAAATAATAAAGGAATCCATCTGCAAACTAAAAAGACAATAAGGTGATAAGTGACAGTCAGCATGGATTTGTCAAGATAGCTTTCTTCAATAGGATAAACAAGTCTTTTGGTTAAGGGGAAGTGGTAGATGTGCTATACCTAGACTTCAGTAAAGCATTTGATACATTCTTGCATTACTTTTTATAAATAATAGTAAAGCATTTGATGCAGTCTTGCATGACCTTATAAATAATCTAGGGAAATAACAGTATAGATTGGGCCACTATAAGGTGGGTGCATAACTGTATGGATAACCGTTCTCAGAGAGTTGGTATCAATGGTTCACAGTCATGCTGGAAGGGCATAACAAGTGGGGTTCTGTGGGGATCAGTTTTGGGATGAATTCTGTTCAATAGCTTTATCAGCCATTTAGATAATGGCATAGATAACTTTATAAATGTATTCAGATACCACCAAATTGGGAGTGGTTGCAAGTACTTTGGAGGATAGGATTATAATTCAAAATGATCTGGACAAACTGGAGAAGTGGTCTGAGGAAAATAAGGTAAAATTCAGTAAGGTCAATTGCAAAGTACTCAGAAAGGAACTATCAGTTGCACACATGCAGAAAGGGAAGTGTCTGTCTAGGAAGGAGTACTGCAGAAAGAGATCTAGAGGCAGGGCTGGATTAAGGGGACAACTGCCCGGGGTGCCAACCTGGGGGTGGAGCCGCGCATATGCCACATACCTGGGTGTGAGGCACCCCTTACCACTTCAATCAGGCACCCCCCCATAGGTTGGCACCCAGCAGCAGGGCTGCGCATACGCCGCACACCCGGGGGTGTGGCAGTGTATGTGCCACTTGCCCGGGGGCGCAGCGCCCCTTACCATGTCAATCAGGCGCTGCGTGCCCGGGGGTGGGGCCACGCATGTGCCGCATGCCCATTGCTTGGGGAGCAAGTATGGCTCGGTCCAGCACTGTCTAGAGGTTATAGTCGACCATAAGCTAAATATGTGTCAGCAGTGTGACACAGTTGCAAAAAAACCAAACATCATTCTGGGATGAGGTTCATAAGTAAGTCACAAGAAGTAATTCTTCTGCTCTGCTCTGCTCTGCTCTGCTCTGATTAGGCTGCAACTAGAATATTGTGTCCACTTCTGGGCACCACATTTGAGGAAAGATGTGGAGAAATTGGAGTAGATTCAGAGAAGAGCAACAAAAATGAAGAAAGGTCTAGAAAACATCTCTTTGGGAAGACTGAAAGAACTGGGTTTGTTTAGTTTGGAAAAGAGAAGACTGAGAGGGAACATAACAGCTTTCAAGTACCTGAAAGTGTGTTACAAGGAGGAGGGAGAAAAATTACTCTCTTTAGCCTCTTGAGGATAGGTCAAGAAGCTTAAATTCCAGCAAGAGAGATTTAGATTGGATATTAGGAAAAACTTCCTAACTGGAATAAATTGCTAGGGAGGTTGTGAAATCTCTGTCATTGGAGTTATTTAAGTGCAGGTTAGATAAACATCTGGTAGGCATGATCTAGATCAGAGGTGGCCAATCATTTTTAATAGGGAACCACTCTTAAGATTTTGGTAAGCAGTCAAGGGCTGCACTTCTGTGGAGGGGACATGGAGTCTGGGATGGGGGGTGGTGTATAGAAGGGAGCTTGGGATAGAGGAATGGAGTGTGAGAGGGAGTGTGGGGTCTTAGATGGAGTTTGGGTGAAGGAAGGGGTTATGACCTGGGGCTGGGTCTTGGGGTGCAGGCCCCAGGAGGGGTTATGGGTGCAGGAAAGGATTCTGGCCTGAAGGAGGGATGCAAGAGGGGGTACAGGGTCCGGGCAGGAGTTGTGACCTGGAAGAAGGGGGCAAAAGGGGTACAGAGGGTTTGGGTAGTGAAGTGGGGCAGGGGAATTGGGTTCAGGGTCAGGGAGGGGTATGTGCACAGGAAAGGATTCTGGCCTGGGGAAGGGGTGTAGGAAGAGGTAGAGAGTCTTGGAGGAAGTTGTGACGTAGAGGAGGTGGGGAGAGGGGATACAAAGGGTTTGGGTGGTGACCTGGGGCAGGTAGTTGCAAGGAAAGAGAGGATGCTCTGACTGGGAGCGCTTACCTAGGTGGCTCCTAGTCAGCAGCTCTGCAGGAACCTGAGTCAAGCTCCCAGCCTGTGTGCTGGGTGGGTTTCTCCACATGGCTGTGCTCCAGCACAGGGAGAGAGGAGAGAGCAAGGGGAGAGGGGCACTGAGGGAACTTCATTAGCTGCCTTTGCCTCAGGCAAAACTTCTCATCTCCTATTGGCTGGAAACTAGCCAATGAAAGCTGAGGGAATTTGCTACGGGGCAGGAACAGTGTGCAAAATTTTGTCCTCCCTGCCCAGACTGCATTGCAATTAGCAGTCTGCTGTTTAGAGAGGCTGCAGCTGCTTTCTTGTAAGTGTGCCCACTAGCTGCAACTTATACATCCCTGCTCTAGATGGTGCTTGGTCCTGCCGTGAGTGCAGGAGATTGGACTTGATGACCTCTCAAGATCCCTTCCAGTTCTAGTATTCTATGATATTTTGTGTTGTTTGTCACTTGTTAACTCTCACACTAGAAATTGATTTTATTCTAGATTGTTCTGTGTTCTATTGATTTTTTTTTCTGTAAAAACAAGTATTGCAATCTCATTTCCATAAATTTCACGTAATGGTTGTTAAGTGCCTAGAAATTCTTACCTCATAGAAGCCAATGGTGTTTTTGCCTTTCACTTTGGAGCTAGGATTTCACCTCTATTTAAGAACCCTAGAATTGGTAGTGTTTGATAATTTCCTCTCTATTTTTTCACTTTATTTTTCAAAGGGCTGATTTTCTAACTATCTTTTATAAATTGTTCTACCACTTAATGGGTTGGCTACTTACTTTTGATTTTTTTTTCTAATTTTTTACTTTTGATTAGTATGATAAGGATTCAAGTTTTCTTTCTTGAAAACTAAACTTCGATTATTTGGTAGTTTTGTATTATCAGTGAGTACATGGAATAGTCTCTAAGGCTGTGGTCTAGACTACATGCCTCTGTCGTCAGAGTCATGTAGATTAGACACATAGGCAAAGGCAAATGAAACCGTGATTTAAATGATCAGCTGTTTGTCGGCTCAGCGCGGCAGCCATGTAAATTTAAATGAAGCCACGATCATTTAAATCGCAGCTTCATTTGCCTTTGCCAAAACAACAAATCGATGGAGCCATGTAGTTTAGACGTACCCTTAATTATTGAATTTAATAACTCTGTATGATTTTGATTTTCGAACATATATATATGAAATCCATGCACTGAGTATTGAACGTATTGGCTTGTTCCTCTGTTTCTGTTTTTTTTCTTGGCATTTGTTCAATTTGGAGAATCTTACATGCCCTATAATCAAAACTTCAGGAGCTTAATTTATTATGATTTCTCTTAGAACCAGAAATTGAGATTATGAGCTGTCTGATCCAGCTTTGTTTTATCTAATGACAGAGTAGATTAGCTTTTTTTAAACGTTTTTGTTGTGCATTTAATGAATCTTGTACATGCAGAGCTTCTGGATATGA